AAAAAAAAAAAAGAAAGAAAGAAAGGAAATACAAGAATCACCATTCTGTGCTATTAGAATTCATTATTACAAGGTTTTTAAAATTCACCCAACCAGAATTCAGCTACTTGGTATTTTTATCCATCTGAACCCCTTTCAGAATCAGAGAGAAAACAAACTGACATCCTCTAAATAGTTTTTAAAATAAATGCTTCTTATTCTTAAGAAGATCCCTTCAACCCTGCTCAGTCTCTTACTGACCTACACACGCACTTGGCAAGGTTGTCCACTCAGCACACGAAGACAGAAAACAAGACGTCATACTTCTGCCTGGAAATCCCTCCTCAGTGAAATTATGTATTTGATGTGGAACCATTCTTTATATAAGAATTCCAGCTAGTTCATAAGCAACAAGAGAATGCCATTCCTCGGAGCTCCTAATCTTAAAAAGTGGCTTTAAGTAGTGATAATCAATAGCTTCCAAAAGCATCAAACAAAAAGCTGATGGGAAACTTTGGAGCTGAAGGACCCAGGTGGTGACTCCTGAACTGCAGATTGTCTTGAACATCACAAAAGAAGGAGAGCAGCACCTACATGCCCCTAGGATGGCACCATAGGAAGCTACAGGCCACCTGCAGCAACACCCACACAGCATTCTGGGAATCGTCTCCCCCTGACCAGGCTTCTGGACCTGCACAACCAGAGTGTGGGAAATACAGAAGGCAAGCAGACATGATAAAGAACATGGTGGAGATAAAATCTGCAAAATCCAGAAGGCGGAAAATTCTATGGGACAAATGAGCTGGCTTCTTGAGCAACTAAAAGGCCAGAAAAAGCCTCAGATTAGAAAACAGATGTCCCCTAGGCAGGTGTGTGGGAACCCACCAGATGTGACAGCAGGTACTGAGAAAGGAGCCATAAGAACGATAACCAAAACTCCAACACTGAAAGGCCTTTCAAGTGGCAGCCCTGTGGTGTCAGGGCAAACTGCGTTATAAACCAGCTCCACCGAAGCCAGTGCCCTGCGACACACAGCCTTGCAAAAGTGGCTGCGATCACTGAGAAAAGGTCAGTAACTAAATGATGTCAGGAACATACAGAGATACACATTTTGCTAAAAATTTCTATGAAAAATAACAGTTTTGTGTGATTAAATGGATCATTTTAAATTATATGAAAAAAGACTCATCTTTCTAGGATGATTCTTTTCCTCGGGCTTTCAAATAACCAACATCTTACATAGACTTTCCAGCAATGAGAAAATCAGAATGCATTACACCCCCTCCAGTGTTAGCTGTAGAGTGTACACTCGTCATTTCCAGAAACAGTTACATCTCCCGGTGGAAGCAATTATCCTTTATGAGCTAACAGAATTAAAGAAATTCAAAAATATCTCTTGTACAAAATGAATATAAAGTATTTTATACAGAGCTGCTGATAGATACCCAATATTCCCCAAGGCATATGCTTCTTAAAACTCCTCTGTAATCTTAAAGCTGGACTCTACATTTAAAAAAAATACAAAAGAGTAAAAAATTTGGACCTTTTACAAAATAATATTTATTAGCAGTAAACTAATTGCAAAATCTCCAGAAGTTGAACTTGAGATGTTGTTAAGCATGTACAAGTAAGTTGCCACACTGGGTTGAGATGCAAATAATAGTATAAGTGTCAGGGCAGCTAAGAGACCTGACCGATGTGTTTAATTGTGCCAACCAAACTTTGAGGTCAATTCTGTGTACTCAGGGGGGGGGGGGGCAGAGACATAGAGACAGAGATTAATTGTATATTGATTTGTTGTTAGCTAAGCTCTCTTGATTCATGTTTATACATGAAGGCTGTCAGCCTGCCGGGAATGGAGCGCTGGGTGCGACCAGGTTTCGAGTTCACGCGCACCCCCCATCCGCAAAGCAGCGCAGGGGGGGGGGG